AAATACAGAGAACACCACAAACATACTCCTCGAAAACAGCAACTCCAAGACACATAACTGTCAGATTCACCAAAGTTGAAATGAAGGAAAAAATTTTAAGGGCAGCCAGAGAGAAAGGACAGGTTACACGCAAAAGGCAGCCCATCAGACTAATAGCAGATCTCTCAGCAGAAACTCTCCAAGCCAGAAGAGAGTGGGGGCCAATATTCAACATTCTTAAAGAAAAGAATTTTCAACCCAGAATTTCATATCCAGCCAAAACTAAGTTTCACAAGTGAAGGAAAAATAAAATCCTTTACAAACAAGCAAATGCTTAGAGATTTTGTCACCACCAGGCCTGCCCTACGAGAGATCCTGAAGGAAGCACTAAACATGGAAAGGAACAACAGGTACCAGCCATGGCAAAAACATGTCAAAATGTAAAGTCCATCAATGCTAGGAAGAAACTGCATCAATTAGCGAGTAAAATAACCAGCTAATATCATAATGACAGGATCAAGTTCACACATAACAATATTAACCTTAAATGTAAAAAGACTAAATGGTCCAATTAAAAGATACAGACTGGCAAATTGGATAATGAGTCAAGATCCATCAGTTTGCTGTATTCAGGAGACCCATCTCACATGCAGAGACACACATAGGCTCAAAATAAAGGGATGGAGGAAGATCTACCAAGCAAATGGAAAACAAAAAAAAGCAGGGGTTGCAATCCTAGTCTCTGATAAAACAGATTTTAAACCACCAAAGATCAAAAGAGACAAAGAAGGCCATTACATAATGGTAAAGGGATCAATTCATCAGGAAGAGCTAACTATCCTAAATATATATGCACCCAATACAGGAGCACCCAGATTCATAAAGCAAGTCCTTAGAGACTTACAAAGAGACTTAGACTCCCATATAATAATAATGGGAGACTTTAACACCCCACTGTCAACATTAGACAGATCAACGAGACAGAAAGTTAACAAGGATATCTAGGAATTGAACTCAACTCTGCACCAAGCAGACCTAATAGACATCTACAGAACTCTCCACCCCAAATCAACAGAATATACATTCTTCTCAGCACCACATCACACTTATTCCAAAATTGGCCACATAGTTGGAAGTAAAGCACTCCTCAGCAAATGTAAAAGAATAGAAATTATAACAAACTGTCTCTCAGACCACAGTGCAATCAAACTAGAATTCAGGACTAAGAAATTCAATCAAAACTGCTCAAGTACATGGAAACTGAACAACCTGCTCCTGAATGACTACTGGGTACATAACTAAATGAAGGCAGAAATAAAGATGTTGTTTGAAACCAATGAGAAAAAAGATACAACATACCAGAATCTCTGGGATACATTTAAAGCAGTGTGTAGAGGGAAATTTATAGCACTAAATGTCCACAAGAGAAAGTTGGAAAGATCTAAAATTGACACCCTAACCTCACAATTAAAAGAACTAGAGAAGCAAGAGCAAACACATTCAAAAGCTAGCAGAAGGCAAGAAATAACTAAGATCAGGCAGAACTGAAGGAGAAAGAGACACAAAAATCCCTCCAAAAAAATCAATGAATCCAGGAGCTGGTTTTTTGAAAAGATCAACAAAATTGATAGACCACTAGCAAGACTAATAAAGAAGAAAAGAGAGAATCAAATAGATGCAATAAAAAATGATAAAGGGGATATCACCACCGACCCACAGAAATACAAACTACCATCAGAGAATACTATAAACACCTCTACGCAAATAAACTAGAAAACCTAGAAGAAATAGATAATTTCCTGGACACTTACACTCTCCCAAGACTAAACCAGGAAGAAGTTGAATCCCTGAATAGACCAATAGCAGGCTCTGAAATTGAGCCAATAATTAATAGCCTATCAACCAAAAAAAGTCCAGGACCAGATGGATTCATAGCCGAATTCTACCAGAGGTACAAGGAGGAGTTGGTACCATTCCTTCTGAAACAATTCTAATCAATAGAAAAAGAGGGAATCCTCCCTAACTCATTTTATGAGGCCAACATCATCCTGATACCAAAGTCTGACAGAGATACAACAAAAAAAGAGAATTTTAGACCAATAACACTGATGAACATTGATGCAAAAATGCTCAATACTGGTAAACCGAATCCAGCAGCACATCAAAAAGCTTATCCACCATGATCAAGTGGGCTTCATCCCTGGGATGCAAGGCTGGTTCAACATATGCAAATCAATAAACGTAATCCAGCATATACAGAACCAAAGACAAAAACCACATGGTTATCTCAATAGATGCAGAAAAGGCCTTTGACAAAATTCAACAGCCCTTCATGCTAAAAACTCTCAATAAATTCGGTATTGATGGAACGTATCTCAAAATAATAAGAGCTATTTATGACAAATCCACAGCCAATATCATACAGAATGGGCAAAAACTGGAAGCACAAGCCAGTTTGAAAACTGGCACAAGACAGGGATGCCCTCTCTCACCACTCCTATTCAACATAGTGTTGGAAGTTCTGGCTACAGCAATCAGGCAAGAGAAAGAAATCAAGGGTATTCAGTTAGGAAAAGAAGAAGTCAAACTGTCCCTGTTTGCAGATGACATGATTGTATATTTAGAAAACCCCATTGTCTCAGCCCAAAATCTCCCTGAGTTGATAAGCAACTTCAGCAAAGTCTCAGGATACAAAATCAATGTACAAAACTCACAAACATTCTTATACACCAGTAACAGACAAACAGAGAGCCAAATCATGAATGAACTCCCATTCACAATAGCTTCAAAGAGAATAAAATACATAGGAATCCAACTTACAAGGGATGTAAAGGACCTCTTCAAGGAGAACTACAAACCACTGCTCAGTGAAATAAAAGAGGACACAAACAAATGGAAGAACAAACCATGTTCATGGATAGGAAGAATCAATATTGTGAAAATGGTCATACTGCCCAAGGTAATTTATAGATTCAATGCCATCCCCATTAAGCTACCAATGACTTTCTTCACAGAATTGGAAAAAACCACTTTAAAGTTCGTATGGAACCAAAAAAGACTCCGCATTGCCAAGACAATCCTAAGCCAAAAGAACAAAGCTGGAGGCATCACGCTACCTGACTTCAAACTATACTACAAGACTACAGGAACCAAAACAGCATGGTACTGGTACAGAGATATAGACCAACGGAACAGAACAGAGCCCTCAGAAATAATACCACACATCTACAGCCATCTGATCTTTGACAAACCTGACAAAAACAAGAAATGCGGAAAGGATTCCCTATTTAATAAATGGTGCTGGGAAAACTGGCTAGCCATAAGTAGAAAACTGAAACTGGATCCCATCCTTACACTTCATACAAAAATTAATTCAAGATGAATTAGAGACTTAAATATAAGACCTAAAACCATAAAAACCCTAGAAGAAAACCCAGGCAATACCATTCAGGACATAGCCATGGGCAAAGACTTCATGTCTAAAACACCAAAAGCAATGGCAACAGAAGCCAAAATTGACAAATGGTATCTAATTAAAGAGCTTCTGCACAGCAAAAGATGCTACCATCAGAGTCAATAGGCAACCTACAGAATGGGAGAAAATTTTTGCAATCTACTCATCTGACAAAGGGCTAATATCCAGAATCTACAAAGAACTTAAACAAATTTATAAGAAAAAAACAAACAACCCAATCAAAAAGTGGGCAAAGGATATGAACAGACACTTCTCAAAAGAAGACATTCATACAGCCAACAGACACATGAAAAAAATGCTCATCATCACTGGTCATCAGAGAAATGCAAATCAAAACCACAATGAGATACCATCTCACACCAGTTAGAATGGCAATCATTAAAAAATCAGGAAACAACAGGTGCTGGAGAGGATGTGGAGAAACAGGAACACTTTTACACTGTTGGTGAGACTGTAAATTAGTTCAATCATTGTGGAAGACAGTGTGGTGATTCCTCAAGGATCTAGAACTAGAAATACCATTTGACCCAGCCATCCCATTACTGGGTATATACCCTAAGGATTACAAATCATGCTGCTATAAAGACACATGCACACGTATGTTTATTGCGGCACTATTCACAATAGCAAAGACTTGGAACCAACTCAAATGTCCATCAATGACAGACTGGATAAAGAAAATGTGGCACATATACACCATGGAATACTATGTAGCCTTAGAAAAGGATGAGTTCATGTCCTTTGCAGGGACATGGATGAAACTGGCAACCATCTTTCTCAGCAAACTAACACAAGAAGAGAAAACCGAACACCACGTGTTCTCACTCATAAGTGGGAGCTAAACAATGAGAACATATGGACACAGGGCAGGGAACATCACACACCAGGGCCTGTTGAGGTGTGGGGACCTGGGGGAGGGATAGCATTAGGAGAAATACTTAATGTAAATGACGAGTTGATGGGTGCAGCAAACCAACATGGCACATGTACACCCATGTAACAAATCTGCATGTTGTGCACACGTACCCCAGAACTTAAAGTATAATAATTTTTTTAAAAAACTACCTGAAGTGCTTTTCAAAAATTCCAATGCTCAGGCCCCACCTCATAGATTCTGATTGTATTGGTCTAATGCAAATGTTCAAGTCAAGCTCTGAAAATTATGTACAAAGATTGAAAACATTCTTGAATAATACTTTGGGACCTGTTCTGAAAAAGTCTAGATAACCTTTCTTAAAGAGAGCTCAAGGCATATTGGTTCAGCAAGATTTTTAACAGTTATTACAGCCCACAAAGAAAAATTTTAAGTTTCTTTGCTCAAATAAGCTTTAGAAAAATCTAAACTCTGACAGAAGATAAATATTGATTTGCTGCAGGATTCTCAGAGGCCTTGATGTGTCAATATGCATTATGACTTTCCAAGAGGGGGTTATATGTATAGAATGCAGCATTTTCTGAACTTATTTGACCACAGAAACTTTGTTTGTTTTCTTTTTGTTTTATAGGATGACTCTAGGAATAGCTAAGAAATATAACTTGAGAAACATTACCTATATCATTTATAGTATATTCTTTTTGTCAAGCAAATTTTAAAAAAATAGTTTTAAAGGAAATGTTGACAAAAGCAAATTACCCACATTATATCAACCATGTCTTTGGCTTAATCTTTGAGTTTCATTTCTCTATATAGTGAACAAACCTCCTAAATATTCGATAATCAGATATATCCTTTGATACTCTCCCCATTAGAGTCTATATCTCTTCCCTTTGGATATGAAAGGAATTGTGACTCCTCCAAACGAGAGTATTCTGAAGTCTGGATCATCAGGCCATGCAGCTTTTCCTTGGTTGCTGGAACACTTGCACTTGGAGCTCTGAGCTACCATGTACATAAGAAATCTGACTACCCTGGGGACCCAGGCCCAGGGAGAGGTAGGTGTACGGAGGCATTCTAATCTTCAATCCCAGCTGAGCTCAGTCTTCCGGCTATCCAGACAGGCATGTGAATAGCCACCAAATGTTTCTAGAATCCCACCTTTCAAGTCACTCCCAGTTGTTATATCTTCTTGGCTGAGGCACCGGACATCCTGAAACAGAAACAAGCCATCCCCACTGTGCGCTGTGAATTGTTGATTCACAGAGTCCGGGAGCATAATAAATTTTGGGGCAGTTTACCAGGCAGCAGTAGATAACCAAAGTATACTCTAAAATAGGTTTTAAAAACATATCGAGCCTCGATCACAATTTTAATGAAGCACACTGAGTGCCATTTCTAAAAAGAGGAGAAAAGATTGAATTTCATGAGCCTGACAATAGTTCCATCAGACAGTAATATCCACAGCACTAATGGCCAACATATACTGAGCACTTAGTGCGACCAGGTGCAGGCTAAATGCTTTATGTATATTTTCTCATGAGAATTATAGAAAAAGAAGCTACCAGATTGAGTGTCACTCTTAGAGCCAGTACCTTATGGCTCACACTGCTCCTGCGCATGTCACTCTGTGTGCTTCAGTTTATTCATCTGTAACATGGGATAATATTAGCTCCTTCCTTAGGAAATTATTGCAAGGATTAAGTGAATTAATGTGTGTAAAGCACTTAGAACAGTGCCTGTCAAGGAGTGAGTGCAAAGCAAATGTTTGCTTTTGCTATATGGGTTCCAAGGAAGAAAGGAAATGGAGCACAGGATGACTATGAGAAGGAAGTTTCTGTCCTTTCAGCAGGAGTGGTTCCCCTGGCCTCAGCAGGCCTGTATCTGTCCACCTTCACATCCCAGTTTCCAGCACAGTGCCTGGCTCACAGCAGGCTTTCCATAAGTGGCTACTGGATGCTGAGTTTCTGCCCATAGTTTCATTCCTCACCCCATCTAATCCTAGTTAATACCTCCGTCTGTGGAAACTGAGTCTTCAAAAGAAAAAACGACCCATGGAGTGTCCACTGTTAGGAGCCTCCTGCTCCCCACTGCCTATTTTGCCCTGCACTGTCCTGCCCTGACCTGTCTCATGCCCTGCTTTCTCCAGCTAGCCTGGCCCCTTTGTTCAGACTGGCACGATGATCACCCTCACCAACCCCTGCCACGCACCTTTTCACCTGCCCCTCCAGGGAACTGACTGGTGCACAGGAAACAAACTCCTGCTGGTGAGCACATCTCTAGCTCAGGCTCATGGGTACTGAGGCCTCCCGGAAGAAGACCAAGTTGCTGAAACAGGCTGTGGGATATGATTTTCCCACTTTCAGATGAGGAAATTGAGGCTCAGGTGATTGGGTGGTCCAGTGTTACTCAGGCGGTAAGTAATGATACCAAGACTTGCGCCCAGGTCTGTCTGATTACAAACTAGAATTCTTCCCATTGTGATATCATTCCCCTCTTCTGCACCTCACCTACTTCATTCCTCGTCACTCAACTTTCCATGTGGCAATCTGGCCCATTCCTTCTAGGAATTCATCTTCCTGCCTTGGTTGAGATGTAAGTCTTACATCCAAGAACTTGGAATATATGAACATCTACATGCCCCACAAATGTCTTCATCCTCTTTCGTCCTCTGAAAGCCCACTACACACACACACACACACACACACGCTTCTGTTTGTTGGGGTTTTTTCCAGTTGTCACAATTTTTTTTAATCCTAGCAAATGGATTGGGGGTGGGGAAGTCAAATAGTTACTATATTTACATGGTGAATGGATTTAGGTGATAATAAAGGCAGATGTTGCTATAGCAACTAACATTCTAGGATCTCGTATACATCTTTTTGCCTTTTGCAAAGTGCACTGAGTTGTAGCTAACGTATTTCCGAATGGTTGGTGCAGAGCAGGGCACACTGACCACTGTGGTCAGGTCAGAGTCTGCTCATACATGTGGAGCTCCTTAGCCACTAAAGTGTCCACTGCAGCTCCTGGCTCCTGGTAAACCTGGACAACCACTCAGCCTCAGGGAAAACCAGCCAGAGGCTGCCTTGTCTGTCTCCTGGTCAAATTCTCCCTTGCTCACCTTATATTTCTCTCTTTTTCATGCTGGTTCTAAATTCTGCTAACTGGTTGAGGATAGCCTGGGTTGTTTTCTGAACACCACCTCGAGGTTCAAGGGTAGGGTGTTCACTCTGACAATAACCAGGTGAGAGAGAGGTGTGCCCTGTGTGCTGTAGTGGGAACAGCCCGGGCCCCTTCCCCTAGGACTCCTTCCCTGCTTGTGGAGAGTTCCTGCCCGAGGATCTCCTACACCTCCTCCTCATCCCAGGTACCCAGAACTCACATGTGCTCCCTTACTCACCCAACCAAAGCCAGTCCTCAGGGTGTCACACAAAGCGGGAAAGATAACTGGAATGTAAAGGGTGTGGTTCCAGCCCCAGCTCTGCCACCTACGAGCTGCACTACCTCCCAGAATCTCAGTCCCTTCCCCTGTGAGACAGGGCTGCACCAGTGGAGAAAGTGCTAACCTAGTCAATGCATTCACCAGTCGGTGAAAATGACCATATGTGGCAAATTCGCTTCCCATGGTTATTTTGCCTTTTTCACAAAATAGGAGCCTTAAACCAAAAGAATAAATTTCAGGTGCTCAACCTGCCAGACATTATGCTAAGTTAAATTAGCCAGACACAGAAAGACAAATACCATATTATCTTACTTATATGTGGAATCTAAAAAAGTTGAACTTACAGAAGCAGAGGATAGAATAGTGTTTGCCAGGTGCTGGGGGTGGAGAAAGTAGGGGAGTGTTGATGAAAGGGTACTAAACTGCAAGTTCTAAGATGAGTAAATCCTAAGGCTCTAATGTACAGTGTGGGTGGTGATGGGTGTGTTCATTCATTTGGTTGTGATAATCACTATACAATATATGTATATCAAATCATTACTATGTACACCTTGAATATATAGTCTTTGTTAATTAGTCTAAAATTTTTTAAAAATTTAACAAAAATTTAAAAAGAAAATTACTTCCAGAAAAAGAATAAATTCCAAATTGTAGAAACCCAGGCATCAGTTAACAGCGGAAGATATTGTCTCATAACAATGGGCTCCTGTGACGACCATCTACACACAGGGCCATCATCCCCCCAACACCCTGAAGCAACTGCGTGCTCATGGGCTCAGAGTTTGGTAGGGAGGCAGGCAGGTAAGAATCTGTAGACACGCATTGTGATGGACACCACTGGGGATGTGCTCTGAGGAGGGACAAAACCAGAGGGAAATATCAGGTGTATAAACCTCAATATATGTACTCAATCTCTGAGCCTCAGTTTCCACATCTGTGAATTGGACACAATGTCTGTCTCAAGGGGTTGTTTCTTTATGATCTTAACTACTCCACACTTTAGATCATCACTATTTCTAATGGCTCCCAAACATCTTATATCCCAATACCCAGCCCACACCTCTTCCTTGAGCCCTACATCCATATGTCAAGGTGCCAGCTGGCAGCTATGTGTCCCTCAGACACTTCAAACTCAATATATCCCCAGCTGAGCTCATCATTGTGCCCTATAAGTCTCTGCCTTCTGCATGTTCTCTATCTGGGTAAGTAGTGCGATCTTTTATTCTTGCCTCTCTTTACACACCCATGGGACCAACCAACCACTCAGTTCTGTGGACTTCACCCCAAAATAGCTCTAGGTGCCTTCTCTCCAATCCTTAAATAGTTCCTCTGGCCTGACTCTGTGTCTTTAGACTTTAATGGGCCTTCTTCTCCCAAGTCCTGTCCCATAATCTCATCCTCCCCTCGCACTCTAGAGAGGATCTTTTTTTCTTTTTCTTTCTTTCTTTTTTTCTTCTGTGAGACAGGGTCTCACTGAGTGCCCCAGCTAGAGTACAGTGGTGCCATCATAGCTCACTGCAGTATTGACTTCCTGGGCTCAATTGATCCACCTGCTTCAGCCTCCCAAGTAACTGGGACCACACGTGCATGCCACCATGCCCGGCTATTTTTTATATTTTTTGTAAAGACAGGGTCTCCCTATGTTGCTCAGGCTGGTCTCAAATCCTAGGCTCCAGTGATCCTCTCACCCTAGCCTCCCAAAGTGCTGGGATTACAGGCGTGAGTCCCTGTGCCCAGTCAAGAGGCCCTTTTAAATGCAGAGGTGATCATGTTGCTCCCCATCATCTACGGATGAGTCCAAACTCCTCTATGAGGCTCTTCAGGATGCAGCACCACCTTTCCAGCCTCACTAGCCTCCACCACCCACAGTCCTCACTCCAGGCTCACAGACCTGCTTACCTCCCCTGCAAATCTGTGGCACTCCTCACCTTTGTGCCTTTGTGGAATTGTGTGTCCACTCTGCTTGAAATGCCCAATCTCCCCAGATCTCCTTTCTACCGCTTCCCCCACTTTCCCTATCCATTCACAACCAGGCATTGCCTCCTCCAGGAAGCGTCCTCTGACTTCCCAGGGCTGGGCTCCTTGAAAGCCATGTGCATAGCACTCTTGTGGCACTCGCCACATTGTCATCTGTGTGTGTGCTCATTTCACTTACCAGACTTCAAGCTCTCCTGCAGCACAGACTAACTACAGCTTACTCATACATGTACCTCCAGTTCCTAGTGCAGTGCCTGGCCCCTAGCAAGTGCTCCAAATATGTCTAATGAAAATGTAAATGAATGAAATGTTTGGAAGAAAATATTCCTCTTAAAATTGAACTGAACCCCATGGACTTTCTAGCACCAAGTGCAGGCAATAGTGCTAAATGGGATGACTGTCTCTAGATTGGAGTTGTGATGGTCAGTTTTGTGTGTCAACTTAACCAGGCCATAGTACTCAGTTATTCAAATAGCACTAAGATATCTGTTCTTGTGAGGGTACTTTGTAGATGTGGTTAAGATCTACAGTCAGTTGACTTTAAGAGAAGAATATTATACTTAATAATCTTGCTGTACATAGTCAGTTGCAAGCTAAAGAACTGAGCAGAACTGAGGCTTCCCTGAGGAGAAAGAAATCCTGCCTGTGGATGGTAGCTTTAGTTCCTACATGAGTTTTCACCCTGCCCTTCCTGACAGCTTGCCCTGTGGCTTTCACTTGCCTAGCCAACCCCACAACTGTGTAAGTCAATCCCTTGCAATAAATCCTACTGGTTCTATTTCTCTGGCAGAACCCTGATGGATACACCAGCCTTCAAAGCCCTGCTAGACCCGTGAACTGAACACTTATCTTTGGACCAAAGCTCTTCCCAGAGAGGAGCACACTTAGGGCTCTTTGGATGTTGCCACTTTATAGTAGCTCTTCAGCATGCTGGAGAAGTGGGTAGGTGGTGATGATCATGCCCCTGTACTCCAGGAGAGGCTCAGCACAGGGTTCAGTGTCTTGTACAATATGGCACAGTAGGACTGATCATCCACATCCTGCCTCCCAGTCTGGGCTCCCTAGAAAACCAAGTCCGAGGCATCAGTAATTTGTATTGACAAGAAGAAAGGGCCACTAAAATTATTAAACTTGGACAATTAACAAGTAAACAAACATGTAATTGCAAGCCAGACCCTTGGCTAACCCAGTGTTCTCTGCTTATTTAATTTGACATGAGTCGTTTAGTTTTAATGAGGACAATGCGTCACAGTGTATTAGTAGGAGTCCTGTAGTATATGTTGTGGAAATAATGAAGGCTTAGCAATGAGACCTGTTTTAGTGCTCTGCTATTAAACCTTCACTGAGAAAAGAGGTGAGGCTGCCAGGCTCTTTGTGGAAGGGACTGGGTTTGCAAATTAGCACTGTCAGAAAGAGCTAGGTGAGACAGAACCTGGCAAAGCCCCCAGTCTTGAGCAAACCCAGGAATGCTCAGCTCATGGACCTGAGCACCAAGCCCACTGCTGAACCTCATGACTACCCAGCAACGAAGATCCCAGAAAGGCCTAGAATATGCCCCACCTCCCACCCCCACCACCAGTGGCCAACTGGGCAAGACAGATGCTACCCAGGCAGTCCCCAGAAGGAGAACAGCCCCACTCAGATCCTATGTGGTCACACTTGGACTCCACTAACCTGAGCCTTTCTTGGCAGATCACTTGGCCCCTCATAGGAGCAAAATCAAGATTCATGCCTCACTCTCTCATTGGTGGGATGAAAACTGAGCCACTGTGGCTTTCTTCTGCCTTCTCAAGTGTGCACAGTCAGGTTGATTCATCATGAAATCGGTCCATTCATGCTCAGAAGGCAAATAGCAAATTTGTGCCTCTCACTCAACTTCAGTTTGAATTTCACAACTCTAGCCTTCCCTTTCCTAAATCCCAATCCCCTACCCCTCTCCTAAGGAATGGCTGTCAATTAATCCTTAGCAGAGAAGCAGCCCACCTTTGTTCTCTCTGCATCATGTGCAGTTTTAGCCTTTCTCATTTGTGGACCAGAAGGCTGTCTTTTAGAGCAGTTCTAGGTATTACTGAATAAGTAGAAGATATTCGTCTGAGAGAGACACAACTATCCCTTTCCCCAAGGAATAACCACCTCTATAACCCTCTATAACCACCAGGTTATAGAGGACACTGAACTGGGAGACACAAGGGATGCATGCTAGGCCAGCCCTGCCACACAGCCACCTCTGAAATCGTGAGTCGCTCACTTTTCTGAGTCTCAATTTTCCTTTTGTAAAATGGAAGTGTTAAGCCAAACCACTTTTCTGCCCCAAGTTTCTGAGGTGCCAGAGGGAAGAAAGCTAATTTTCCCCAGGTCACCTCTTTTATACTGAGCCACTACCCCTGTCTTGGGTCTCTTTCCCTCTTCCTCTCCCGATCTGCTCTCCTTTCTCTCTTCTTTCTCCCTCTCCTCTCCTCTCTTCTCTCTTCTCTCCTCCCCTGCCCTCCCCTCCCTTCACCTTCTCTCTCTCCCTATCTCTCTCTATCTATATATCTCTTTCTCTCTCTCTCTCTCTCTTTCCCTCCACCACCCTCTCTCCTACCCCCTCAGAACTCAATAGGTCACCACCAAGACAGACAATGTAAAAATCTGTATCTCCACAATTCTGCAGCCCTGTTTCCTGGCACCTAGGTTGCCTGGCCAGGGGAAATAGTCCCAGAGCGCTCAACATGATAAGGGGGAGGATCGTTGGTGGGGGCATTGGCTACTATAAAAGGAGGGCTTAAAAGAGTCTTTGGGCCCCTGGAAGGTGAAAAGAATAGAGAACCTCAGTTCTTTGAACCAAATCTGGAGGCTTGGGCAGTATATGGGGTTGCAGGGGTAGGTGCACATCCCCTTGGTTGAGTCCTGTGTTTTGTGAATTATGTTAACTTAACACCACTATATGCATGGCATGAACTCAGTGTCATTAACAAGACATCATCTTCACGGAACTTTGGGTACAGAGAGGGAGATGGACGTGACAGAAGATAACTACAATACAGGGAATCAGCAGTGGATGTGCGGGAGCGCAGGAAAAAGCCAAGGGTCCACTTTAAGGGGCTAGAGCAGACTTCTTGGAGGAGCAGCCACTCGGTCTCTCAGCAGCATCGTGGAAGGTGACTCTCCCCTCCTCCTTGAAACACTTTCTTCACTTACTTCTTCTCCTTCATCCACCCTTTCTTCCTTCCCTTGCTGGTGCCTCACCCTCCACACCTTCACATGCAGGAATGCCCCAGTCCTCCCTCCTCACACCACTTCTCTGTTGCTCTCACTCCCTCAAGGAGCTCACCCATGTCTTGGCTTTAAACACGACTTGCAACCAGAAACCACCAAATTTGTATTTCTAGCTCTGACCTGTTCCTCTAACCATAGCTCAACAACTCCCCTTCAAGTTCTAATGGGAATCTTTAACTAAATCTAAGCTCAACATCTCCCCTTCAAGTTCTAATGGGAATCTTTAACGAAATATGACCATAACTGAACACTTGAGATCCACCCTCATCTCTCAGAAAAACTGCATCTCCCTCAGTCTTCCCATTTCAGGCCAAATCTCTGGAGTTCTTCTTGAGTTCTCTTTTCCTCTCATGCCAACATCCAACCAGTCAGCAAAGCTTGTGTTATCTCCACCTTAAAAATAAGACCCTAATGTATCACTTCTCACCACCTCCATTGCTCTCACCTTGGTCTAAGCCACCAGCTTCTCCCTCTGAGACTCTTGCATTAGCCTCCTAATCAATCTCCTTGCTCCATCTTGCCTTTAAAATCAGAACTATCCTTTAAAACTATAAGCCAGATCATGTCCCTCATGGCTCAAAACCTCCCAGTGGTTTCCTGTGTCACTCAGAATAAAATCTAAAGTTTCTCCCATCACCTACAAAAACATGGGTGTCATCTGGGTCTCTGCCTCTCTGGCCCTGATTCCTACCATTTCTCCACCAGCTCATTTAGCTCTGGCCACAGCGGCATTGTTGCTGTTCCTTGAATGTGCCAAGAACCACTCTCCCACCACTAAGGTCTTCTTTCAGTCTGGACCATCTTTCTTCCCCACTGCAATACCTGCCTAACTTGTTTTGTTCTGTTTTGTTTTGTTTTTGACAGGGTCCCACTCTGTTGCCCAGGCTGGAGTGCCGTGGTGTGATCTTGGCTCACTGAAACCTCTACCTCCTGGGTTCAAGCAATTCTCCCACCTCAGCCTCTCCAGTAGCTGGGACTGTAGGCACATGCCACCACACCCGGCTAATTTTTGTATTTTTTGGTAGCAAGTAGCAATGGGGTTTCACCATGTTGGCCAGGCTGGTCTCGAACTCCTGACCTCAGGTGATCCACCTGACTTGGCCTCCCATAGTGGTGGGATTACAGGCATGAGCCACCGCACCCAGTACCTGCTTGAGTTTCTCCCCCACTTCAAATGTCATGTCCTCAGAGGGGGCCTCTGTGGCACAAATCCTTTGGCCTATTATATTTGAGGGTCCTGGCAAGAAGTGACTGGAACATTCAGCTACGATCTTTGGAGAGATCTTTCCATGAAAATTCTACTCAAGGAGGAAACCAAGAAGAGATTTTAAGGCCCCTCAAAATTAGCCACACTAGGAAGCCAATACCATGGTCAGTCCTGTAGGAGGAGAAACTGGTGTTACCAGCACCCCTCTGAGAGCCAGAGCCATGAAAGTGAGAGTGCTTGATGGCATTGTGGCCTTAGGAAAACAGCCACTGCAGAACTGTGGCCAAGCAGAGAGCAACAGAGCAAGCACCTGGCTCTCTTCCCATCCTTGATTCTCCTGATGATGCCTCCTTTTGGCCAAATACAACTGGAAATCAGAGGGCAGGGAGCCCCGGTGATGCAATCCATGGAGTTCAGGCTCAAGAGCACAGAGTGGAGCAGAGCAGAACTATAAGAACAGATCTGGAGCAAGCAGAGATTACTCAGCATATCAGTATCTCTGGTTTCCCCTCTTCCAACATGAGTCATCATATTCCTCCTTCTGCCTGCTATAATGACCAGTGACAGTCCAGAGGATGAGGACTGGATCACAGAGTGAGAAAGATGTGGAATAGAGCCCTCCTGCCCACCCCACAATTAACATGGAGCATGAGCAAAGCCCCTGAGATTTGGAGGTTGTTTGTTATTGCAGCTTCATCTAGCTTCTCCTGACTGATGCACTTCCTCTATCACCTTAACATGCCTTGTTTTCTTCATCAGACTTAACACCACCTGATAAACTTTCAGACTTGTTAATTATCTGTCTCCTTCCTCTAAAATGTAAACTATGGGGGCAGAACTTTGTTTATTTCACTACTAATTCTCTGCATGTAGAACAGGACCTGGAAAATAGTGGATGCTATTGTTTGCTGAACAAATGAATGAATAAAGGAGCTAATAACATATACTATTAATTATGTTTTAGGCACATTCTCAAGCTGAAGCAGTGGAAGATTAAGCAACTCACTTAAGCTCACCCAGCTTAAACACTGGAGTTAAGTCGTGAAGGCATTCTGACCCCAGAGCCCAAGCACTTGACCACTGTGCCATGCCTCCTCCAAGTATCAACAGGGCTTGATGGAGAACTTCAAGAGAGACCATTCCAGGCACAGGCTACAGGCTGGAGAGGGCCAGGGCCTCCTGCATACTGCAAAGTGTTAGTTATGGCTGGAACCAAGAGTGACAACCAATAAACTGTACAGGGTAACAGTGAAAACTTTGATCATGTAAAAATAATGCTAATTAGTCATTTATGTGGACTGCTTATCATTGTTGCCTAATTACTAGGCAGCACAACAATTAGGTAGAGCTTTAACTAATATCAACCAAACTCTGTTGTAAGTTTTATTTGATTATAACTGTCCAAGTTCAAAACAAGAGCTTAGACCAATAGTGAGTTGGTTGCTCATGGAGACTGGTTCTCTGCCCAGAATTCAAAATTAGAAAAGAATTATCTGGTCCTTACCAGATACTGCCTGTATTATTAGTGATCGTCCAGCTATATGAGTTTCATCTGGATTAGGAGCTCCTTGAAGCAACGACTATCTAGTTTTTCCTAATACCATTATTCCCTCCTCACCCAGAGTCCAGCTCAGTCCTAAATACAGTGGAGCCACCTTTGCCAGGGTTTATCTGTTGGTGCTCACTCTGTAAAAAGATGGTCCTCGTTCATGTGTTTCTGAGTCTCTTCTTGCTGCCTGGAGGCGGGGGATGTAGGAAGCCCATGAGTGTTTTGAACACATTGGCTGGAAGGGGCCACATCTACACCAGCTTGGACAATTCCAAGAGCCTTCCTGGAGACTTGCCATGGGCCTTCAGAAGAGGTGGGATGAGGGAGCGGAGGGCTGGTTGGTGGCCTAGCAGCTGAGCAGAACCCTTGAAATGTTAGGGAGGGCCAGCTCTCCCCTAATATCCATTCTTTCCTTCTAGAGTTAGAAATGTTTTAGTTGGGCACATGGCAGCCCTGATGAAGACTGCATTCCCAGGCTGCTTTGCAGCTAGATGTGGCCATTAGGGTAACAGAGCAGAAGCAATGTATGCAAGGTCAAGACCATACATTTAAAAGGAAAAAAGGGACCCTCCCTCTCCTTCTTCCCTGTTTTCCTTGATCCAGGGTGCAGGCAGGAGTTAGAGCTTAGACAAGCTCCTTGGACCCAGGATGGAATAAGGTGTTGAGATGACAGAGCGGCAGGATCAAAGGAGACTAGACGGTCAGACCCCAGAGCTGCAGCCTCACCCCGTTACAGAGCATTGCCCCATGCAGACATGATACGTGCAAATCACCGCAGCAGCATCGAGAAGAGTACAATGTAGTTAAGGAATTAGGAAGCGGGGAGTTTTGAGTATTGATTAGCTTGACTTTTAATATATTCACTTTTAAATTTATAAAAATTTAATTGTTAATGATAGCTCTGTGTAACAATCAGGTCCCAAGACTTCTGAAAATATGTGGCAGCTCCAGCTTTGGGTCTTTGTCAGAGTAGCAGAACTTGCACCCTTACTAATACAAAGGTGTTGTAGGACGTGGGAGTATGTTCTTGGGGGTGCGTGATAGACCACTGAGCTCGAGGATGAGCTGGGGTCTCCTGAAAAATGATGGTGCCCTCAGAGATAACTTTGAGCAAAACATTCTCAAACTTCTGTTATGTTTTTTAAAAGCAAAATATTTCCTGCAGCCTAACTCCAACATGAAAAGCCCCCTCTCTGTGGAGAACTGCTGTTCTAGACGATTGTGAGGGCTCCTGCTCCAATGCCCAGGGGTCCTTCATGACCCAACTGAGCATTTCTGCCTCTTTCCCATGTGGTCTCTCTTGAGACCTTCTCTTACCAATTTAAGGGCAAAAAGACATCTCTCTGGTGGGAGGCATAGCCCCTACCCTAACCTCTCACTTTCACAAAACACAGGATGAAAGGCAAGTAAGCCATTCATCCAATAAATCTGCATAGATTAACTGGGAAAATACGAGTCTCTGAGTCATATGTCTAGTAGACTTCCACTTTGTTAAGAATCACAAAGAAGAAGAGAGAGAGAAGAGAAAAAGAGAGGAAGGGGGAAAGGAAGGAAGAGAGAAGGAGGGAAGGAGGAAGGAAAGAATCTATATAGGCTCCTCTCTATTTATATTTATATTTATATATTTATACACACACACACACACACAATAGTATATAAGAATTTGCATGGGGACTGCATGTGGAAGTGTGAGCCTATAGCCCCAGTTACATGGGAGGCTGAGTCAGAAGGATCACTTGAGCCCAGGAGGTAGAGCTGCAGTGAGCCATGATCACACCACTGCCCTCCAGCCTGGTCAACAGAGCAAGACCCTGTCTCTCCCTGTCTCTTTAAGAAAACGTATGGGGATAATAAACCTAATTTACATTAAAGGCTACTTCTACAGAGGGAGGACAATGAGATTCAAAGGAACATCCAGGTTCTTTCAGCTGATCTGCAGCGTGTGTGTGTGTGTGTGTGTGTGTGTGTGTGTGTGTGTGTGTGTTTTCATTTAAAGTAAGTTTGGCAAATGTTTGGCAAGATCTAATAAGTTTGGTGATAGATATTCAATATAAAATTCTTTGTATTTGTCTATATGCTATAAAATAAAAATAAAAATGACCTTAATTTTTAAATTTCAAAAAATGTATTCACTAAAATGAATTCAACCCCCCAAAAAAGAAAAATGTTCACATTATACATACCTCTATTAAAGTAAGTGTCTCATTGCATTGTCATTATATAGTTGTATGCCCATATCCCCTTTAGACTGTGAGTCCTTGAGGGCTAGATCTAAATCCTTTAATCTATGAATCCCCAGTGCCTGTCCTAATGCCTGGTTCAATATCTCCTGAGCCCCTGTTATGTACCAGATGTTCTACTGGACTCCAGAGATACAAAAAGGTAATTTGGATTCAGTCCCTGTTTTTCAAGAATCTTACACATAGCAGGAGAGACAGATAAATAAGTATCTCATTATAATTCACTAGGTTTGCTCTGTGATAGACTCGTGACCCTGGTGGTGCCTCTTCCACTGACGGAAACTGTGGCAAACAGGTGTGGAGATGCATCATATAAGGGTCAGGGGAGGGAACAGACTTCTGCTTACCTCCCAACTGCACCACTCAGAGACATGGGACATTGAAGAAACCCACAGCTTCGCTAATACTACTCCTCATCCATAAATTCTTTGCAGGATCGTCAGTATTCAATGAGATAATCTAATTGAAAGTGCCTGGTAGCTTGCTTGGATGGTGAGTGCTCAATAACTATTAGAAGACATGGAAAACCTGAGGATCAAGAAAGCTGAATGATTCATTTGAGATCAAACTATCATGGATAACCAATCCAGGACTCCCAACCAGGTGTAGGCTCCCCAGGGCACCTTGAACACAGTAAAAATCTTGGGGTCCTCAATAAAGCCTGTTGAATTGAGATTTAATTTTTAATTTGAAACCCCGTCTCTACTAAAAAATACAAAAATTAGCCGGGCATGGTGGCGGGCACCTGTAATCTTAGCTACCCAGAAGGCTGAGGCAGGAGAATCACTTGAACCCAGGAGGCGGAGGTTGCAGTGAGCCAAGATCGCACCACTGCACTCCAACCTGGGTTACAGAACGAGACTCCACCTCAAAAAAATAAAATAAAATGAAATAAAAATAAAAAAGTAAATCCTTTAATCATAGAATCATACCACTTTAAAGCTAAAAGAAATTTGAAAGAATAAATCATCGAATCACCCCCTCTGGTCCCCATAATTTTAAGGAAGGCCAAGACAGAGATGTCAGCAGTCATCTCAAGACCCCACAGCAGGGCAGGGTGGACTTCAGGTCTCCCACCTGCCATCACACTGCATCTCCCAGGTTGAGAGGCACCCTCTGCTCTCCCCTCACAGCACATCTCCCTTCTCTCCAGTCTGTGACCTCATGCATGAGAATCTTTCCTCTCCATCTTTCAAGGAAACGCTCGCCCTTGGTTTTCCTCCTGCTCCTTTGTCAGCTCCCGCCAGTCTCCTGCCTGGGCAACTCCTCCTCTCCCCATGTGGTACTGTGTGGATCTGGGGATGTCTAGGACTTCCTTGTGCCTCTGGAAAGGTAAGTCAGGCCAGGGTTGGGGCCTGTAGAGAGCACTTGGAAGGTGAACACCAGCTTAGGCCACCAGAATAGGAAAGGCTCCAATGAGGATGCTATGATACTTGCTGCGTGCCAACAGTGTTCTTTGCTCACATAATTTCACTGAAGCCTCAGAATCATCCTGACATAGACCCAATTACCATTTCTGCTTCACAGAGAAGGAAACTACAGCTAAGAAAAGTTAGAGGACTTGTCCAAAGTCACATAGAGAGTAAGTTGTAGAGCCAGGACTTGAACGCCTGAGGCCAAGACTTCACCACCGTGCAACTCTACCTCGTTGGAAGAGGATGTGAGGCATATCCACAGGGTTCTATCCTCCCAGCAACAGCAGCAGTCTGTCCTCAACTTGACATAAACCTACAAGGTGGGGAAATGAATCTGCACATGTATTTACTTTCTTGCGTGAAAATTCAGGTTCACAGCCTGGTCAACATGGTGAAACCCCATCTCTACTAAAAATACAAAAACCAGCCAGGCATGGTAGTGGGCACCTGTAGTCCCAGCTGCTTGGGAGGCTGAAGCAGGAGAATCACTTGAACCTGAGAGGCAGAGGTTTCAGTGAGCTGAGATCGTGCCATTACACTACAGCCTGGGTGACAAGAGTGAGACTGTCTCAAAAAAAAAAAAAAAAAAAAAAAATTCAAGTTTAAATTGTTTCAGGCCCACACTCTGTGCAGTTGGGTCTGAAGTCTACAGCCATGTCCCCAACCCTTTTCTTCTCATTTGCACCTGAAAAGTAACCACTGCCTCCACGTGGCTCCACCTGCTAGGGATGGTATTGAGCTTTATGCTTCTTCAGGGCATTTTTCTCTAGAGTCTCAAATGCCCCCTTTAAAGTCCATCGTATGGAGCTGGAGGCCATCATCCTTAGCAAACTAACGCACAAACAGAAAATCGAATGCCACACGTCCTCACTTGTAAGTGGGAGCTAAATGATGAGAACACATGGACACATAGAGGGGAACAACACAACTGGGGCCTATTGGAGGGTGGAAGGTGGGAGGAGGGAGAGGGAGAGGACCAGGAAAAATAACCAATGGATACCAGGTTTAATAGCTGGGTGATGAAATAATCTGTACAACAAACCCCCATGA